CCCCACCAGAGGGACATGAACTGGAAGCAGCGACAAGCTGCCCGTTACAGGGGTTGGAACTGGATGAGCCTTAATATCCCTTCCAACCCAAACCAGTCTGTTCTTCTACGACACGATTTAATGAATATGTGTGATTCATTCTGTGGTTCCTTATGTCATAGACCTCCAATATGTAGCAAGAAAAACCACAAGAAGAGGTAGCAAAAAAACAAGCCTCAAGTGTGTCTGCCCAATACAATCCTGTTTTGTGCACTAAGAGCCACGTGTTGGTGTCCGCTAGCTGATGCACCACACCACACATCTGGACATCCCTCCCGCTTCTCTCGCAGCAAGCTGGCCTCCCTGTAGATCCCAGCCATGGCTGTTTGCGCTGCTGTTGAGCTGTAAGAGTATCCCGAATCCCAGGCTGATTGCAATTCTCATCTCCTGCCAGGCCATAGAGAGTTTTGCACTAACTGTGAAGGAAATTGCCCAGCTGTTACAATCCTTTGGCACGGAGCTGGCAGAGACCGAGCTACCGGATGACATGTATTCCATCGAGCGCATCCTGGCCCTGCGCACGGAGAAGTACTACCAGCTCAAGGTATGGATCAGCAGCGTGTTCCCAGCCCCTGTTTGCACAGCCAGGTGGGATCTTCTCCTTCCCTCCCATGTGTATGTGTTGACAGAGAAGGTAAAACACAGCATGACTCGTTCTGTATGTTACCCATCCACTCAAGCAAATCACCCTGCCAGCATCCAGCAGCGTGTCTCCTCTGCCGCCTCCTTGCTGTTTGGTGTGCTCCTCCTGTGGGATTCCCATGTCTCGCTGGCAGGTGGGAGGCTTCATCACCTCCGTGTTCGTGCTCCCGATGGGATTCCTTTTGCTTCGTTCCCACTGTGGGAGAAAGCTGCATGCAGAAATCAGCAGCATGTCTGGAGTGGTTGGTTTGCCCCAGGACTCTCTGCCTGATGCAGCTTCCATGGTGGGGATTAAAGGAACTGTGCCAGAGAGCACCCGAGGAGAAGTGTTTGTGTGTGTGCATGGTACAGAGCATTCAGGATGTGAATGAACATGAGCCTTCGTGTTTTGTCTTTAACAACATTGGCTTCTTTAATATCCTAATATCATTATAGGGGTTAGGGGAAGGTTTAGTGCCCCCAGCTGCTGCTGTGTCAACCTGTGTCTTTGCTGCTTCTGCATCTTTCTGTGGGCAGCAGGAGCCTGTCCCCAAACCCTCACTTCAGAAATGATTCCCATGTTATTAGCCGTGCTTTGTGGCTGGAGGATGGGCTCCTTTGCTGTATGACAGGATTAGTTTCCATCAGTCAAAGAAGTGCATCTATTCTCATTTATAATCACTTGTCATTGGCATGACTGTGAGTTCCCAGAAGGCTGCCCATAAGAAATATGCAGAAGGACATCCAAAGTGTGCTGTGGTTAGGCGTGAATGTATGTGTGTGTGTAGAGAGTATCTTTATAGGTACTGCCAGTCGTCCTTTATTCTTTGAACATGAAGAGAGCTGTAGTGTAAAACAGCAGCTACATATACTGCAGTAGGACTTACTGACTGACACTTCATGCTTAGGATTACATCCAAAGTGTAGGGAGCAAGCACCGACTACACAGTGTAGTCCTGTGTATAAACCAGTCGGTAACACACTTTGCTCTGTGGAGAAATAAACCATGTCATGTGTTTTCATTTACATATAAAGCACAGCAGCACTCGGTACAAGGCATCTGTTGCTTTTAATGCCTCATCCATTAATTCCAAATATCAAAACCACTCATTGGCTTTTGACTGAATTGAAATCCATTGGATTTATTCTTCTGTTCCTTCTAAGACCATGAAGGATGAAAGCAGATGAGAAACCGTGCACAGATTGTGGTGACAGCAAGACACGAGGTCCTTGTCTCTCTCATGACAAGCCCAAGACTGGTAGAGCTGATTCCTGAATCCAGATAATGAGTTGATCAGAATAATTTCTGTAGCTGTGATACTGAACAGAAGCAGGTTGCGAACACAATGAAATAAATGGCAGGAATTAATTAAACAGAGTAACTATGAAATGAACTTCTTTGATACACTGAATGGGAAGAAATCAAGTTAACACCTCTCTGGTAGTCAGGCCACTTTGGCACACGTATAATGAAAGCTTTGAATCAAAAGGGAGTGCAGGGCTCTGGGGAGGGAGATGTAAGAGGATGAAATAACAGCCACCTGCAGTCTACATGCTGCAGAATTCCTCATCCCTTCTGAGTCTCCTGCATGTGATAGTATCAAAAGGAGATAGAGTTTTGCCTTGTGGTCATCTGCTGGGATATTCTAGTGACAGGGATGCAATTTGTCAGTGGACGCTTTGTGTGTGGCAGAGGAGAACCTTCTAGGGCTATGTCCTGCTGCTGCTGGGTGCTGGTGTGTTTAGGTTGCTGTGAGCTATCTGGGGCAGGCAGATGCTTAAGCAAGTCAGTGCTCTGTGAATCTTCCCCCTAAAGTGGTTTTGCCATTGTTTCCTTGCAATAGAAATCTGACCATCTCCTAGGATGGGCTTCTACTCCTCTAGGAGTTGGCTGTCCAATGGAACCATGCACAGGTCTCTCCTTCAGAGCTTCTTCAGCCACGTCTATTCCTTACTTCCTTCTTTCTCACCTCTGTGTTTGGTCTCCCAAAATAGTTGACTGAATGCACCTGTTTGTATGGGGCTGAGCCCAACACAGCACAAAGCACCTCAGCTGATACTACTGATCACACCAAGGCTTTAAATTTTCCCTAAGTGCAAGTTACATTGGCTTGTCTCTATAGGTACAGGTTTTAGTAAGTGGTGCCATGTAGTCGCAGTCCTAGCTTTGTCCCACTATGGGATGCTCTCTTCTTTCAACCTTCTGTCCTGACCTTGATGGAGAAGCACAGCCTTCAAGCAGAAATACTTGCTTGAATATATGAACTTGTAGCTAGATATCTAATATCAACTCACCTGCTCACCAAGGAGGACCCATGCTAGTGCTATCCTCCTGCCTCTTGAATCCTTTAGTGGCCTGACGTTTTCATGTGTGCCAGTTTCCACCCAGCTTGGTGACCGGTCTGTGGGTCAGCCTCCTCCAGCTCCAGGAGCTAACCCCACACTGAGGGAGCTAAAACATCTGCTGTGCGTCCTTTGGTCTGATGGATACTGGTGCTTCATTTCATACAGAGAAACTCGGGCAGGAGAAACATGAAAAGACTTATCCTGTCCTCACCAAATGACTCAGAACTATTTGCATTATACAGGAAGATATTACAGCAGTCACAAAAGAGGGAAACTTGCTTTTGAGCAGCTTTGAAGAGCCGGACTCTGGGGAATGCAGCGAGGACCAACCCCGTGAAAGGCCTGGGGACTGGGAGACTGTGAATCGGTGAGTGCACAGGGGTCCTGTTTGCCTGTTTTGCTCAAGTTATTTAAGCACAGATGTGTTGTTTAGGTCACCTATGCAGCAGGTAAAGATACCAGTGTTTTGCTCCAGATGCATCAAATTGCTGGGAGACTTCTGTCAAATGACTTTGACCTGCTCTGATTTTTCCCCCCACTGACTCAATGAGGCTGTGGAGCAGATGCAGGGTTCTCCCCACGCCAGGCTCTTGGGTATTGAAAGCCAGGTTGGACACAGGGGCTTGGAGTGACCTGCTCTAGTGGAAGGTGTCCCTGCCCATGGCAAGGGGTTAGAACTAGGTGAGCTTTAAGGTCCTTTCCAACACAAACCATTCTGTGATTCTGTGTTATTCAAACAAATGGGGATAGCAACAACTGCTGCACACAGGTGCTGTCATCTGCAGTGATGATTCCATTAACATTCTCTTTGAGCTCCTCACAAGTCATATATATGCATCTACTGACTTCTAAGAGTTTGGGTCCAGAAAACCCATCTCTGCTTGTCCTCTGTTTGCAAACTGTTCCTTTTCCTGTGCTGCAGGTTACTTGGTCAGTTGCGTGAGATGGAGACTGCTTTTGATGGCTTCTGGGAAAAACATCAGCTAAAAATGGAGCAATATTTACAACTGTGGAAGTTTGAGCAAAGTTTTCAAGAGGTATGGTCAGACACGCTGCTGCTGCTGGTGGAAGGAAGAGCTGGAGACGGAAAGGAGGGGAGATGAGAGAAGCTTTTGTGCTTTTTATTTTAGGAGTGCTTAATTCATGCTGCAGTTCCTTGGCTCTGGCGGGGCTGGCTAGCTTGGGGAGACCACTGTGCTTCCTCATCCAGAGCTAATTTAAGTATCACTGCCCTGCAGTCACAGAGATTTTGCTGATCTTTGAATTTAGTAATTAGTTCTTGGGCAGTAGTTTTATGCTGGAATTTAGCAGTCTTGGCTAAAGTGTGATTAATTTCAGTCTGAGAATGATTTTCTGCCTGTGCTTTGTATCCTTTTTGCAGCAGTCTTCTTCTTTGTGTCTAGGTCAAGAATGCCATTGAATTTCTCACGGGTCAGCAAGCAGAGCTGCCTGACACTGGTGACAGTGTCCTCCAAGTAAAACAGAGGCTCAAGGACTTGGCTCATTTCGATGGTATGGCTCAGGTGAGATGAGCTTTCACAGAAAGAAGCACTAATGAAACACAAGAGGCACGTTCTGTGTTTGTGGTGGGAGGTGTTTTCTGGCATTACCTGGTTCTAGTGTAATCTGTTGGGAAGTGGCTGCACGAGAAGGATTGATTTTGTGTCTTTGCTGCGTGCAGAAATGCTGTGATCACTCTGAAAGCCAGAAACAGGGTATTTAATTATCATAGTTAAAATAAATCGCTGAGCCACCAGAAAAATCTAGAGCAGATAAATGTCTGAACATAGGGGAGGCGTGGGATTTAATGAGCTGGAAGAGGGATTATTTATATGTTAAGTGCTTTAGCAGTGCTAATAGGCAGAGACTGGTTACCAGGCACATGGAGAGGCAAAAAAAGTTGCTATCTTGATGTGTCTGTGATTTGAACACAACATATGGGTGTAGAAAGACTAAGAGATGTAGGGGAAAGAGGAGTGGAGAGAGATGATTCACAGGAGCCTACGGAGGATGTGACTTTTGCAAAGGGATGTGCTTGACAAGTGGGTCAGGGTCTGTGGGGAGATCCTGAGGGATCTGGACACAACCCCCAGGGGCTTCTTGGAAAATAAGAGTCTTGGGGAAAGGTCCATGGTTTTCTGGCCATTTGAATGAAATGTGTGTGGAGAGAGGAGGAACAAGAGACCAGGCAGGCAGGGTGCTACAGGGAAGCAGTCCCAACAGAAAGCCAACCCTGGAGAAGACATAACCATTACACTGACCAGCACCAAGCTTTGCTGCAAAGGGCCTGGTTTGTTTTCACTATAAACCTTAACTGCTCAAGTTCCCTTTCATGTTTATGTGCACAGTGTGCTTAAACTGGGCATGAGGCACAGGTTTTTATAGAGTGCAGTTCCTGGGGATGGCACCAATATGTTTCCAGCATTGCTAGTTTGGTAAAATACTGTTTTCTTCTTCATCCTCTTTTTGGATAGCAGAAGTGGGTTTTTTTCCCAGATGATGGGTGCCATTTTATCCTGTATAAGCCACCTATTCTATTTATCCCGTGTAAGCCACCTGGCTGCTTCTATTGGCAGTCCTCTCCATGAGTACCTGAAATCTGGGAAGATGAGAAAGTGCAAGGGGGGATGGCTTTAATGTGCCAGAGGGGAGATTGAGATGAGCTCTTAGGCAGAATCTCTTCCCTGTGAGGGTGCTGAGGCGCTGGCACAGGGTGCCCAGAGAAGCTGTGGCTGCCCCATCCCTGGCAGTGTTCAAGGGCAGGTTGGACACAGGGGCTTGGAGCAACCTGCTCTAGTGGAAGGTGTCCCTGCCCGTGGCAGGGGGTTGGAACTGGATGAGCTTTAAGGACCCTTCCACCCAAACCAATCTGTGATTCTGTGATGCTCTGATTCCACGTTGTTATATGTAGACATTTTGACATTCACTAAGTGTGCAATCCATTGTCTTTCTTTCCCTGAAGGATCTGATTGGAAAGGCTCAGGTGGTGATACTACATGGACACCAGCTAGCAGCAAACCATCACTACGCCCTCAACTTAATCTGCCAGCAATGCAACGAGCTGCGGCACCATTCTGATGTCTTGTCTGATGAGATCAAAAGGAAGCAGATGCGGCTGCAGAAGACCCTGGATCTCCATACCCGTCTTCAGCAGGTAGAGTTCAGAGACACCGTGCCCTGAGAAGCAGATGTCAGCTTCTCCATGGGGTTAGCATCAACACTTCTTAACTGGGCCCATCTGAAAGCTGCAGCTTTGCTTCAGCAGTTCCTAGTAGGAAAGTGTCCCACAGAGGCTGGAGGAGTGCTTCACCCCTCACTTAGCTGGTTAAATTAGCAAACAGCTATCTGCTGCTGCTGTGAATAGTCAGCAGAAAGAGGTGGGCATCTCTTCAGAACACCAAAGTTCAGCTGCTGCTGTAGGTCATGATTTCACGCTGTGTCCATCTATTAATTGACTTTTGAGGTTTCCACACTGAGTGCTATAGAGGGGATGCTTTTGGGTAAATGCCAACCCATTTTTCTTAGAGATTTATAAAGAATGAGCATAGCTGACTGTAAAATGAGGTGACAGATTGGTAGATAGGCACAGCTGCTGTGTGCTAGCATGGAAGTGGAGTCGTGTGGCTTCAACACTCCTTGATATCTTAATCAGCATCAAATACTCATTTAGGGAAATTCACGCTAATTAGGCCAGAAGGCACATGGCTGTTATATGCTGGAGGCCATTAAGAGAAGCAGTGAGGTTTGGCCCTGTTCCATTTCACTGGTCTGGGGGACTTGGGACTTGTTTTACCCCTGTGTGTGCTCCACATCAGTGTTGTGTTAATGTGTGGGGACGAGCCATTCCTCAGCCGGCTCTCAGCTTCAGGGCAGTGTCCTCTCCTGGGCCCCTCACAGTCCTGGTTGGTGCTAGTGGTGTAGCCCGTGGGCTCTGCTGGAGCACGCCATGGTCCTGCTCTCCATGGTCTCTCTTCCCATTCACAGGTCCTCTTGGCTGCCCCATCCGTGGCAGTGTTCAAGGCCAGGTTGGACACAAGGTCTTGGAGCAACCTGCTCTAGTGGAAGGTGTCCCTGCCCGTGGTAGGGTTGGGACTGGGTGAGCTTTAAGGTCCCTTCCAACTGAAACCATTCCATGATCTTCTCATACCTGTGTACACTACAGTGTGTGAGTACCAGCTGAACCTATTACCTGTGTGTTAAATGTTGGAAGTTCAAAGTACAATTTGAAATCCTCTTTTTCTTTATTTAAGACATGAATGCAATTTCTTTGATCATTTCTCACAGTTTAGGTCTGCACTGAGCCAGGCATTTACCACAAAAACCCCTGCCTGTCTCCTTGTAAACTCTAGTCTTCCCTTTAGCTTTCTGAGTTAGATAAATAAAGATTTGCTTGTCATTTGTCTCAACTACGCACCAAATAGTGCTGCTGTGTCACTTATAGCTCTGGTTTTATCCAGTGGGAGCACAACTTGGCTGTGTATGGTGAGGACCCTCCAGCCAAACTGTGGCCTTTCTACTAATCAGAACCAATAGCTGCTGAGGTTTTTAGGGGTACTAATTAACTCCAGGTTGAACATACAAGTCTGGTAAATGATACTCCTCATGGGAATATTGGTTTAGCAAGGGTGCCACTGATGGTCTCGCTCCTTGTGCTTGCCCTGTGCTGTCACCAGGCTCTGCAGTGCTGTGATGAAGGTGCCTACCTGCTTGCCAACCAGCAGATGGATAAGTGCCAGTCTAAAGAAGGCGCTCAGAAAGCTCTCCAGGACATAGAAAGGTTTCTTGAAAGCTCTTCAACCTACTTAAACTATGATCCCCAAGCCCTACACTACGATTTTGAGTCAGTCTTAACATCGGAACTGAAGGTAAGCAACCCCTCCAGTTCCTTGTGACACAAGTATAAAGCAAGTGCATGGGGTTGTCAGCTTTTTAGTCCTCTGTCGGGGGTCAAAGTGCAAAATACTGGTAGTTATTTGATCACAGGAGTCTCTTTCACTCTCTGCAGTGCCAGATACAGTCAGTGCAGGTCAAGCTTGAAAATGTTCGAAGCATGTTTGAGAACCGTCAGTCTTGCTTCAAGAAGCTGCTGGATAAACACGTGCGGCCTGTCCAATTGGTAGCCCCAAGGCCAGAAAATCCACCAAGATCAAAATCACCACTGTTCTCTCCCAAACATGGTAAAATACTTTACATTCATGGTGTTTTCAGATGATGTTTTTGCTTTTGGAAGACTAAGACTGAGGATGGTCTTGAGAAACCAGCTAAACCTTGCTGGCTGATACAATCGCTGTGTAATGCTAAGTGTATATGAGACGATTTATTGTCTTCCAGTTTTGTGTCCTGCCTCATATGGGAACACATTTTGTGTTCCCATACGTGTGTGAATAATAGGGCTGGTTGCTTGGTATTTATTTTCACTTCCTACTCAGTGAAACAAGAGAGTTGTAAACAGTGTGTGCTTCCTGTTCTGCTTTACTAGCATCCTACTGGGCTGAAAACTGGTGAATTAGTACTACAGGGAGAAAAGGCAAGGTTTATACATGTATTAGTATACCTATTCTTTGTGGCTGTCTTGAGCTGGAGCTGACATAAAGTTAGACTGATGTTTGTAAAGGAGCTTGGAGAGATGAGGAGCATTAATCTCATGAACAGAACTGAGCTGGATGCTTAACTCCCTTTGATTCCTCGAGGATGTCTTCCTTAAATCCCAGTTGTGGAATAATTAATGCCCATAAAAGTACAAATTCTGCTTGAGCTGAGGTCAGTGAATGTTCTGCCCTGATTTTGGTAATGGGATGTGGCACAGTGTTAGCTTTAAATGATAACATTACAACTTCAACCCTTGGCAGCCCTGTGTGTATTGGAATTAAAAAGTATTCTGAAGTAACATCCATGTATTTTAAACGAGGGACATACAATGTTCTGTGGGAATATTAAATTCAGTGGTCTGACTGCATAAAGCAATGAAACATTTGTGTTTTAACACAGAATTTTTATGATGAGTTAATGAATATTGGTTATGGTGAATTGTAGCGGGTATCATACAACAGTAAATGTGGCTCCAGTTCATAATGTAAATAGCCAAGCTAGTGGCGGGATGGGGATGAAGGCAGAGGCAGTGAGGGGCATTAAACTACCCAAGATACAAGCCAGTGCAGCAAATAAATCCCAGATTTCCTCTTCCCAGGCTGATGCCACCTTCACTAGACCACACTGCCCTCTGAATCCCATCAGGAAAAATGCTCTGAGTCTTTCAACAGGAGTATTGCCCATTACTTAACGTAACTGTTCCAGCTTTCTAGAAACAGGAAAGCACCAAGGAGGAAATACTGACTGAAAGAGTAGGGGTAAATGGGTGGCCACCTCTGTGGGATGTTGTGAGACCATCATCAATTGGCTGAACTCGTTTCATGCCTTTATGGGATGCACGTTCTTCTAGCAAAGGCACTCGGTCGCCTGCAAAGCACCAGTATCCTCCATTAATCCTCTTCCTGAAAGAGATGATCAAGTGTGTTGAAATGAGCATAGCCAGCAGGCAGGGAAAGACAAAAGGCTTCTCTTTGGATAGATCATGCAGAGAAAGCATTTAATAAGACCTCTGTTTGATACAAAACATCAAACTGCTGCGGGCCTGCTGGCATGATGTGCAGTGTCAAAGACACATGCTGGGCTCTGCTGGGAGTGCTTTGAGATGGATGGTTTTATGGTGGGGATTGAAACCAAGCCACCTGTGAGCACGGTACTTTTGTCCTCTTTTTATTTCTTTCCTTTGTTTCTGCCCCTCTTCTTTTTCTGTCTGAGGACAGATGCTTCCTCTTTCATCTCTATGCTGGATTTGAAGCCTGTCTGATAAATGTGGGTCTAATTTTGAAACCACTTTTCTGGGGGGGAACAAAGGAGTAAATCTGTCCTGTCCTGAACCATAAAACGTAGTGAGATGTGCAGAATTGGTACAGGAGGCTGCAACAGAGCCCTAGTGATGGAGCAAATTCACTCCTGCAGCAGAACGCCGGGCTGGAGCTGATGACTCTCCTGTCTAACTTCCTCTCTGTGTTCCCTTCCTTCCAGTGGGACCCCTGGCAACTCCTTGCTTCTTTTGGGTTTTTCTGTCCATGATGGGTCACACCACTTGCATGCTTCCAACCTGTTCTCCAGCACCCAGATCTCTCTCCTTCCTCATGTGGTGGGTTTACACGTGGAGGTCTGTGGCCTCATTGACATGATAATGCATCAGAGCTTTATCTTGGAGCAGCCCCACATGAAGATGGGGAGCCTACTCTCCATGAGGGTTTGCATTCCTCTGCACCCATTTTTCTCCTTACATCTTCTGCTTCACAAAAGGTGGCTCTTCAGTGTCAGTGCTGTTCAAACCTTCAATGTAGACACAGCTGGTGTTGCAGCCGTATGTGCTGTGATACCTTTTTTTACTGTAATGGAAAGATATTCCATTAGTCCAGTTAATTTTTTGTTTTTCCTTTGCTAACCTCTTTTTTTTCCCTATTTGTAAAGAAGGTGAATATTGCATATCAGAATGTGTTCAGTCTTGGTCCATCTCACAGTTTGGTGCAGCCACTGGGGCTGGCTGGCACATGGACCTATCACTGAGGCTGGAGAAATCCATTATTGCCTTTCACACTGGGGGAAAAGACCCTTTGGGTGAAGAATTGCCACATTGACTCTTGAGGCTTAAGAAGTATTTCAAAGATGCTGTGTAACTCATTGGGGAGATTGATGCTTTATTTTTAAGCTTCCAATTTACCTCTGAAACCCAAAGTATTACAAATTGTAATTGTTTACTGACAATAGCAATGAATTCATTCAAGTGGAGAAACAGTTTATACCAGCTGAGCATCTGCCCTACATTCATAAAAAGACTTTTTATCCCAGTAGGGGATGTTCCTTTTGGTAGCTTGATTTTATTGTTTTCTATCATTTGCATAGGCTTTGACCATCTCAGGTTTTGATCACAGTACTCACTTGATGGATGTTTTGTATTTTTCTCATTATTTCTTACTTTATAGCCTTTAGGATCATCCACGTGACTTGTGCTATTTGGATTTAGTATTGTTGTTTGAGATGGATACCCTTTATTTTGTCAGTTTGCTTGTAGTAGCTCCTCCCCTATAAAGACAGGCTGAGAACATTGGGGCTGTTCAGCCTGGAGAAGAGAAGCTGCATGGAGACCTCAGAGCAGCTTCCAGGGTCTGAAGGGGGTTACAAGGGTGCTGGAGAGGGACTCTTCATCAGGGACTGGAGCGATAGGACAAGGGGTGATGGGTTTAAACTGAAACAGGGGAAGTTCAGGTTAGATATAAGACAGAAGCTCTTCCCTGTGAGGGTGCTGAGGCGCTGGCACAGGGTGCCCAGAGGAGCTGTGGCTGCCCCATCCCTGGCAGTGTTCAAGGCCAGCTTGGACACAGGGGCTTGGAGCAACATGCTCTAGTGGAAGGTGTCCCTGCTTGTGGCAGGGGTTGGAGCTGGAGGAGCTTTAAGGTCCCTCCAACACAAACCATTTTACAATTAGCTAACTAATGACTCATTCTTAAAACACATCCCATTTTTCTTTGTGATTACTAGTTTCTATTTGAACCATCTCCTTTGCTATAGATGCACGTGACACAATTATGTTTTCTTCTACCCAAGGTGTGGATTTTAATTCCAGTTTGAAGTTTTCATTTGATCTCTCTCTCCCTGGGAAGAAAACGTCAAGGAAAACCCCAAGTTCTCGCAAGGTAAAAACTGTTCATGAAACCTCAATGAGTTTTATGCACTGAAGAACTGAAACCCTTCTAAAAATTCATTGTCCTTAGACTTTGGATTCAAGGATGCTCTATTTTGTTTCCTTTAAAAACACTTTCATATCCATATGGTTTAGCTGGCTTACTCCAGCACCTGAGATCTATCTGGGATTGTTTCTCCAAATCACAGAGACTGATTTCCTGTGTGTTATATCCTGAATTTGGTCTTTGGCTAACAGTGATACCTGTCACTGGAAAGGAAAACGTTAGGAAAACTGCCCATCTGCCGGTGTTTCTCCTATGAATTATGTTACCAGTGTTCTCAGATTTTATATAGCAGAGTAATTTCTGGGAATATTTGGCTATCCATTATGTGCTATGTTGTTTATAAGCTGTGTGTCACAAAGGATTTCTTAAAAGGAAGCATATTCCATCCTTCCCTAAAGAGTTCCTGTGCCAACATCAGGGGCTGGGTTCATCTTGCCTCTGCATGACCTCCCTGCAGCTCTTCCCAGTGCATCCCGTTTCTCTTCCAGATTGAAGTCATGCATGACTACCAGGAAAAACGGAATTCCTTGCAGTATTTTATATCAGACAGTGATGACAACTTAGATATACTAAAAGGGTAAGTTTTCACCCTTCTACATCACTCAATGTGACATTTATTTCTTGCCTCATCCACGTCTTCCTCCAACCGGACGTAGGTGTTATCTCTTGTGCTTTTACCTGTTTATCATCCCTGTGTTGGTTGTTCATGAGATCACACTATGGTTTGGGATGGTTGAACTGCACTGTGGGGTTTTCACACACATAAAAAGAACATAATTCTATTTCTTTCTGTATTTTAGCCATGTCATAAATGAGCTTATAGAAACAGAGAGAGTGTACGTGGAGGAGCTCTTCACTGTTTTGACGGTGAGTCACTTCTTCAGGTTGCTCATTACAGTTCCCCAGTGACTTGTACAAAACAGAATGTGCCACCCTGTCAAACTAAGCAAAGATGTGGTGGGGCAGGTTTCCCCCAGGCTGCCAGATCCCAAGCTAGGCATAAATGTTCATGTTTTCTCCTTAGGTTGCCTTTGTTGGAGGCATCTGCAGGAACAGTTGGTGTCAGGATGAGCTTTTCATCTAGAATGAGGGAGAAACCTTCTGTTTGTACACAAAAGCACTGGTAATTTATCAGTGCCTGGGAAAACGTACAAAAAAGCTGTGATATTTTTTAACTGTTCTCTGATTTCCTTTACCTTTTGGAGTCAAAGAAGCTTGTGTTTTCTCCTTGGGAGGATCCTGTCCTGGGTTTGTGAACATAAAAAGCAAATTTCCTTAGAAACCAGTTTATAATTTCTCTTACTGCTATTTTAGACACTTTTAATGTATTCCAAAAGAACTCTTGCTGATGGCCAAACCAAGCTGGCTGTTAAATAGCACTCCCCCTTTGTGTTTTGCCCAGGAGCAAGCAGGATATAAATCTGTTGGGCTCCAGGTAGCTACATGTAATTGCTCTGCACTGATTTTTGTTGTGTTGAACCACATTCTGTGTGATAAAGCAGTTGGCAAGTACACAGATTTATTACTGTGCATATTGAGTCTAGATAGAGAAAAATGGACAGATAGATTAAAGCTTTCTGAAAATAGTGTTTCCTTTAAAGAGGGCAGCCTGCTTGCACTGGTTGAATGTAAATGACTAATTTTCCAGATAGTTATCTTCTCCTGCATCCTTAATCAACTACAAAATGCCTGCTTAGTGTAAGGAATACTGATTCCAACTACAGTGGGTGTGAGAGATTCATTTGGAAAGCCAGAGAAGATGTGCTGTACATACTGAATAAATTCTTGTGAACATTTTTACTTCTTATGTTGAAAAGGGTCTCAGTTCTTAGTGTGACTTTCATTCTCTGTGCAATGCTTAGTGACTTGTGTGGCCAGCTTGAGCTGTGGCTAGGGGCCACTTGATGTTTTCTTTGCAGTGATGATTCTGAGCTCTGGCCATGCCTTCTCCCTACCCTACAGTTAGGATGTTTACCCCATCTGGTGATGTTTTTGCACTGGTGTGGTGATGTGATGTTACCAAGGGGAACTTCACATTATTTCCTACTTCCACCCAGCAGTTTGTGCCCAGGGACTGAAACACAGGGGTTTAGAACAAAAATAAGGAAATAAAAGGGATGTCGCACCCTGAAACAAAGTAGATTGTACGGGAAGTCTGTTCACGTCCCTTTTTCATCTGCCTTCGAGGAGATGCCAAACCAAGGCCTTACCAACTGAGTGATGAGCCCTTTTTGCATCCCGCAGGGCTACAGAGCTGAGATGGATAACCCTGCCATGCTCATCCTCATGCCTCCCATGCTGAGGAACAGGAAGGATGTCCTCTTTGGAAACATGCCTGAGATATACGACTTCCACAACAAGTACTGGCTTTGTTCCCATCTTTATCAGACTGATTTCCTGTAACAACTCAGTACCCAAACCATCCCTCCTTGCTCACTGCTGCATTTTGCCTCTTCTCCCATCTCTTGCAGAATTTTCCTGCACAGCTTGGAAAGCTGCCTGGGAGCACCTGAGAGAGTGGGATTTTGTTTCCTAGACAGGGTGGGTGACTCATTTTCACATATAAAGCAGACTGGAAGGCCAATGTTTCTCCTGGTTTGTCGTACTCTGAGACATCTCAGTTCTTCCAGTTGAGCAAGATGCCTCTGATGCACACCACCAACAGCGAGGCTGGGAGTGTGGGTGCATGGCCAGCAGCAGATGGGGCGAGCAGCAGTCGTGACTACACTGTGGTCTGCTGTGATTCCCAGCAGTGGGGTGTTTTAACCCAGACTCTGACTTTTAGATGTTGAAGTTGGCAGCAGAGAGAAAAGCAAATGTACAGCTTGGGTGTTCGTGTGGTTTGGCTGCCCAGCAGGCTTTGTGCATGCGTGTGACTTGTCTTTCGGCTTCCCTTGCAGCGAGAAGATTTCCAGATGTATGAGAAGTACTGCCAGAACAAGCCCCGGTCAGAGTCCCTTTGGAGGCAGTGCTCCGAGAGCACCTTCTTCCAGGTGAGCTGTTTGTTTCCACGGAGCCAGGCATCATCCTGGGACACTCACTTGTCCCAAACACCCTCCTCAGCATCCCACTGTTCACCATTGCAGGAAGCCTCACAAAAACCGCAGTTGGAGTTTCTTGTACACAGGGATTTTAAGGCAGGTCCATTCGTTACATTATTTTTCACATGTCTATAAAATCCCTTTAGTTCATGTTTTTACATGAAATCTTTGGAGTCATCAAACCACACTAGTCATGCTGGTGGAATCATAGAATCATAGAGTCGTTTGGGTTGGAAAGGACCTTAAGATCTAGCTCCAACCCCTTGCCATGGGCAGGGACACCTCACACGTTGCCCAAGGCTCTGTCCCGCCTGGCCTTGAACACTGCCACCCATGCAGCATTTACCACTTCTCTGGGCAGCCTGTGCCAGCACCTCAGCACCCTCACAGTAAAGAACTTCTTCCTTATATTCAGCCTGAACTTCTCCTGTTTCAGTTCAAACCCATCACCTCTTGTCCTGTTGCTACAGTCCCTGATGAAGAGTCCCTCTCTGGCACCCTTGTAGGCCCCTTAGGAATAACTGGTAGGAATAACTACTGAGTTGGTGCAGAACTTACTCAGAATTCTTT